AAAGCGCACACGAATGCGATCAGAATAAAGTAGAGGCCTATTATTAAGGCAGGTTCAATCACTTTTAGGTTGGATTTGTACCTTCATCCCCGAACCCTATTTGGTTCAAGACCTTATGGAGTTGACGATCTCTTGGATCGTTAAGGGGTGTAACCTTCACCCTGTGAACGGTTTACAAGTTCCTAAAACTTGTTGGCGACTCTTTTGCTCTATCTTCTTCCTTTTTGGACGCCACCGTTTTTTAGTGTATGATCACAGTAGGGTTTAAGCTAGGGGATTAACGCTTGAAATATTCCCTACACCATCCATTTCAATTTGATAGTCCCATATGGAATCAATCACATGCATAAAATAAGAAAAGGAGAATATTTGGAATCTGGCATTAAAGTAAAACACAATTCATAAATAGTTTTGCCTTATTTAGTTTTTTTTATTCTTTTTTACGAAGCATTAGCCATAATTGCATAAATCAAGGGAGTAATTTATTTACTTAGAGTCATGTCATTAATTCACAATCAATTAATCAAACCAATCTGAATTTAATATGTATAAAATAGGAAATAAAAACTAAATTAAAAGTGGAATACTATACATTCCACATGGGTAGATTTTTTTGAAATGCCCAAAATAGTATTTAAGATTATATAGGACTAATAAATTGAAATGGGGAGAGTAATGTTTAGTCACTTTAACAAAAACTCTTCATTAGTCTAACTTTAATGCTACTACCTCCATTCCCGAAAGAACGACCCATTTGGCCTAATTTTAGTCCCAAAACGAATGACCCATTTGCATTAAAACACCCACCAATTTGCAACAATATTTGTGCAAAATTAGCTTCCCCATATAAAAATTTGATTTTCCATGTAATTTTATTACTTTATCTCTCTAATTTTTTACTAACCCCATGTAAATTTATATTTTCAATATACTTTTATCTTTTTATTTATCTTTCTTAAACCCGCGTAATCAACCCTAATGGGTCGTTCTTTCGGGAACGGAGGGAGTATATAATACAGTAGTGTTTAAATTAATTGAAAAACTTTTCATATTGACCTCCTATTACATTTTCATTTAGTTATTGATGAGAGGGAAGCTTCGTTCCTATTTCCTTTTATTTCTGTTATTTCTTTTGCCTCGTTGTGAGTGCTGTCAGCAAAGCCTGTCACATAGAATTTTGGACTGTCCTTTTGATTATTCTTTTGTCCTTAGCTGATTACCGTTGTAATGATAGGCTTGTATATATAAAGAATGTTGTAATATGCAGTACTATGAAATTAATGAAATCAGTGCTTCCTTCTCTCTCTCATCTACATCTCTTGTGACTTTTGTCATCATGGTATCAGAGCCAAGTTTCTTTGCAATCAAGAATTGAGAGTTATAGATTGAAGGAAGACCAACTGATTTTGAAGAATAGCCTCGCAAATTTTCAACTGAAATTTCCCAAATTTATTTTGACCTAGATTTGCTAAACTTTCTTCCCTAATATCCAAATGGCCGGAGAAACTAATGTTTCTTTGGATTTCACAAATCCACTTTACCTTCATCCTTCCGATGGTACTCACACCATTTCTATTTTGAAACTCACTAGATCTAGCAATTATCGGTCATGGAGAAGTTCGATGGAAATTGCTCTGTCCTCAAAACGCAAACTTGGGTTTGTGACAGGGACGGTGAGTCGCCCAGCTGACGATTCAGCAAAAGCGGAGCTGTGGGACACCTGTAACTCCACTGTTATAGGATGGATCCACGCTTCGGTGTCAGATTCGATCAAAAGCTCGATACTCTTTCTGAGTACAGCGAGAATGATCTGGTCTTACCTTGAGAAGCGATTTTCGCTTACAGATGGGTCGCGCAAATACAAACTCAGCAGATATTTGTATGCATTGAAGCGAAATAGAGCGCCTGTTCATGAATACTACACGAGCATGTGTGGTCTATGGTAGGAGTTAGAGTCGATGGGTGCTCTTCTTACAATAACCATAACAGCCACAGATATCAATGCATTCTTGAGAGCAATGGAGAGGCAACAAGAAGAAAGCCGACTCTTCCAATTCCTAAATGGATTGGATGAAGAATACAGTCCTCAAAGAAGCCAACTTCTGCTCATGGCTCCTCTGTCGACCGTTGAGACAGCCTACTCTGCCATTCAGCAAGAAGAATCGCAGAGGGAGGTGCTAAAATCTGCCAAAACAGAGGTGAAAACGGGTGCTATGCTCAGTAAGACTTCATAAATCATCTGTAATGTATGTGGAGGGAAGGGACACTAACCCTGAAAATGCTTCGAAGTGATAGGGTATCCAAAATGGCATCCAAAGTCCAGAAACAACAACAAATGAAAGACAAGTCCAAGGCAGATACGAAGGTGGCTGCAATGGGACATATGAGTTCTGATGGCACATATGATGTTGGCTCTGTCACATGCACTAGCTCTCAATTCGACCAATTCTTGAAGAAATTCACTGGTATGTCTGCTCACTCATCCTCTGTTGTATCTGAAACTGATGATGAGTTAGAACATATTTTTGGGGGTATGGTTACCTGTTGTAGTGCCTCTAGTGGTGAAAATGTGTGGATCATAGACTCGGGTGCCTCTGATCATATGACATGTAATGTAGATGCAATGCAAAATCTTGTTCTGGTCAATAATGTGCCTAGTATTAACTTGCCTAATGGTGTTATGTCAAAAATATCACATATTGGTGATGTAAAACTTGCTGGGGGTTTGATGTTAAAAAATGTGTTGGGGGTGCCTGCTTTTAAGCACAACGTTTTGTCTGTCAATAAACTCAGCAAGGATAATGACTGTAATGTTGTGTTTCACTCTGGCTTCTGTGTGATAAAGGGCAATAGTGATCAGAAGATCAAGGGGTTGGGCAAGCTTCACAATGGCTTGTATTATCTGATAGACAAACCCTCAGAATCTGGGAACCTTAGTGCTCTGTGCACTGCCTTCAGTGGCAAAGCTGCTACTGGTCAAGCCAGTGTGGAATCCTTCACACTGTGGCATAATAGGTCGGGGCATGCTCCTGCTCCTAAACTCAAACTTATTCCTTCCTTAGCAAATCAAATAGGGTCTTTTGACTGCACCTGCATAACCTGCCCTATGGCTAGGTTTGTCAAACAGCCATTTCAGTTGAGTAAATCTGTGGGAAAGCATACATTTGAAATCATTCACATTGATGTTTGGGGCCCTTATAAAGTAAGCTATAAGGGAAAATTCAGGTTCTTCTTGACTGTGGTAGATGATTACAGCAGGTATACATGGATATACCTATTGCGAGAGAAGTCTCAATGCCTGAATATTCTGGAAACTTTTGTGAACTATGCAAGCACTCAATTTAGAAGAAAGGTTAAGATTGTGAGATCTGACAATGCTCTTGAGCTGGATGACACTAAAGCTAATCCTTTGTTTGCAACTTATGGCATAGTGCATCAAACATCATGTGTTGAAAGACCTCAACAGAATGGAAGGGCTGAGAGAAAACACAAACACTTGCTTGAAATTGCAAGAGCAATTAGATTTCAAGCTGGCCTTCCCTTGACCTTCAGGGGTGATTGCATCCTTGCTGCGTCATACATAATCAATAGACTTCACTCTCCTGTCCTGAACAGTCAAACACCTTACCAAAAGCTTCACAAAAAATTCTGTGGATGTGATGAGATGAGAGTGTTTGGGTGTCTCACCTTTGCCTACAACCCTGCTCTCAAAACTGATAAACTCAGTCCTAGGGGTGTGCCTTGTATTTTCTTGGGTTATCCTCCAAAAACTAAGGGGTATGTTCTCATGAACTTGCTTACTCAGAAAAGATTTATTTCAAGAGATGTGAAGTTTCATGAAATGATATTTCCTTATAACAATGCAACCCTCAAAAGTATCCTTCAACCTGTGTCATTAGACACACCCCAACCACCTTCTCACTTGTTGTATGAAGATTTGTCTCCAATACATCTTGCAAACAATGATAATCAGAACACTGATTCAGCATCTGACTTACCAGAACATGCACACTGCCAGTCTTCCTGAGGCCTCTCAAGAATCCATCAGAACACCAGACGCTGTGATCAGAAGATCCAATAGACCCACTCAAGAACCTGTATGGATGAAGGATTATAAGAAGTTGGCATGTGCAGCTGATTTCCAACCAGTGTGTGTTGCTAGTGAAGGTAACATCAGTGTGTCCTCAGAATTTTTGTGTTTCCTAGCAAGTGTGTCAAATGAAACTGACCCCACTTCATTTGATGAAGCAAAGAAGAATCCAACTTGGATTTCTGCTATGAATGAAGAGCTTTCAACACTAGAAGCAAACAACACTTGGGAATTGACTCATATTCCATAGGTGCTAAGTGGCTGTATAAAACCAAATTGAACCCAGATGGAACTGTGGAGAGAAAGAAAGCCAGACTTGTCATTCTTGGTTGCAGACAGAGACCAGGAATTGATTTTGTTCAAACCTTTGCCCCTATTGCTAAAATGACCACAGTCAGATCATTATTAGCTGTAGCAGCAACGTAGGGATGGATCACAACACAGATGGATGTGAAGAATGCTTTTCTGCATGGAGAGTTGATTGAAGATGTGTATATGAAAATACCAAGGGGCTATGTAGGGCCAGGCATGCATGTTAGTCCAGAACAGGGGGAGCTATCTGAAATCAAGGATCTCAAGTTGAAAAAAATCCCTGTATGGACTTAAACAAGCTCCACGTTAATGGTTTGCCAAGCTTGCAGAGGCCTTGAAATCATTCCAGTACACTCAGTCAAAAGCTGACTACTCCCTCTTTACCAGGCAATCAAGAAGTAGTTTTGTTATTGTCCTCATCTATGTTGATTACCTGTTGATTGCAGGAAATAATCAACAAGAGATTGTTAGTCTGAAGGCTCTTCTTTTAAAGAAGTTCAAAATGAAAGACCTTAGAAAACTGAGGGATTTTCTGGGCCTGGAAATTGAACACTCAGAATCAGGGATATTTGTATCTCAAAAGAAGTATGCTTAGGACATGATCAAAGAGTTTGGACTTGCAAAAGCCACACCAGTGAAAGTGCTTATGGACACTCATACTAAGCTGACACCTAGTTTGGGTGATCCTCTCCCTGATGCAGAAATCTATCAAAGATTGGTGGGAAAATTATTGTACTTAACTGTAACAAGACCTGACATCAGCTTTGCAGTTCAAGTTCTGGCCCAATTCATGCAAGCTCCAACCACAGCTCACCTGCAAGCAACCAAGAGAGTACTGAGGTATCTTTTGAAATTGTCCCAGCAAAGGCATTCTGCTAGCCAGTGAAACTGCTGCCATACTCACAGTGTTTAAGCTGGCTGTCCAGTCACAAGGAGGTCTACTACAGGATACTGCATTCTGTTGGGGGATTCACCAGTGTCATGGAAAGCTAAGAAACAGTCACTGGTAGCTAGGTCTTCAGCTGAAGCAGAGTACAGAGCAATGGCTCTTACCATCTGTGAAGTGACTTGGCTAAATTATTTGCTGAGAGACTTGGGCATCAAAAATCTTGGGCCTACTGTAGGCGTCGCTCGAAGTGCGCCTACGTTAAGCATGTGTGAATATGCTTGGTACTCATAGGAAGTGGGAATTGACATATACGATTAGGGACAAGGAAAGTAGGGAGCCGCCAACAAGTTTTTAAGGAACTTGTAAACCGTTCACGGATCATTAAAGGCAACCACGATAAAGGGACAACGATAGGCAACAACGATTGACCCGTGAAGGTTACACCCCATTCATAATCCATGAGATTACTAACTACATATGGTTCAGAACCACGAAAGGAGGATCGGGGATGATGGTACAAAGTGAGTCATAGAGTCACATTCGCCCGTATTGGCCTCTACTCGATTCTTATAGAGAAAAGTGATTCCTGTGATCTCAAAGGCATACAAACAAAAATTCAATTTGCTATAATCTATTATTAAGCTAAATTGGTTAAATATTAATGCAACACATAATTCTAAAATATTAGTGATCACTTGATTAAACAATAAGATTAAAAAGGAACCTAAACCGGTTGTCCAAATTATCTTATTAGGCGTGATTTTCAATTACATATTCCCTTTAACATGCAATATAGTGATCATAAAAATAATAGAATAAACATTAATATTGGAAGCAATCTAACCATAATATCGTTAGTCAAATTAAATATAAAATAACCTAATCATGATGCTAGCAACAAGAATAAAAATAAGAGTAATTAAATGATTAACTACTCACTTTTCGCATTTCCTTGAATTGCTACATCATGAATAAATTGTTAGTAACTTCAATAAAAATATAAATTAAATTGAAACAGTTCCAGGTATGAATCCAAGGGTTCTGCTGGGTAAGTTGGGTCCCGTCAACAACCTACACATGGTAGCACACGTAAACTGCCCTCGGGGGTGGCTCGAGAAACCCCCCTCCGAAGCTTAAGTTAGCGAGTGTTTAGAGAGAGAAAGTGTACTTAGAGAGGTATAGAAAGTGTAATAACTTGAGTGTCTAACCTCTTTTCCGTTGTACTTTACCCTCTATTTATAGGCGTACTATCTCCTTCGTGGAGAGCTTAGCCTGGTCAGCCCTGCGGGCTAACTCTGCCAGGCTGACGAGCCCTCCTTTAGTCGCTTATTCAGCGGTGAGTGCGCACCCTGGGGGCTGGGCGATAGTTCAGCGGGAGCTATCCTATACAACTAGCCCCTCAAGAGATTGTATAAGGTCACTCATGCCGACTCTTTGCCTGTAAGAACGTTCTTCTCAACTGAGCCCAGCTGGAAGGAATAGTTCAGCAGGAGCTATCCCCTACAACTAGCCCCTCAAGAGATGGCGTGAGGTTCTTTCATGCCAGCTGTTCTGAGCGTGTAGCCTTATCGGCTCTGACTCAACGGGTCGTCTGACTGAAATAACCTGCCTACTCCTAGCCCCTCAAGTCTCTAGGGTGTTGAGGCGCCCTGGAGACTTGGGAGGTCAGGCATTGCTATTGATGAGTCCGTTGTATGGTGACATTGCTATTGCTTGTATGGTGACATTGGTTCTAAACTTAAGAAATGACAAGCTCGCAGAGAGGAATTTCGATCACTCTTGCTGAAGTCTGAGAAATGACGAGCTTGCAAAGAGGATTTTCGATCACTCCCGAATAAGTCTGAGAAATGACGAGCTTGCAGAGAGGATTTTCGATCACTCCCGCTGAAGTCTGAGAAATGACGAGCTTGCAGAGAGGATTTTCGATCACTCCCGCTGAAGTTTGAGAAATGACGAGCTTGCAGAGAGGATTTTTGATCACTCCCGCTGAAGTCTAAGAAATGACGAGCTTGCAGAGAGGATTTTCGATCACTCCTGCTGAAGTCTGAGAAATGACGAGCTTGCAGAGAGGATTTTCGATCACTCCCGCTGAAGTCTGAGAAATGACGAGCTTGCAAAGAGGATGTTCGATCACTCCCGCTGAAGTCTGAGAAATGACGAGCTTGCAGAGAGGATTTTCGATCACTCCCGCTGAAGTGCTCTCTTCTAAAAAAAAATGTTATTTTATATATATATATATATATATTTTTTATTTTTATTTTTATATTTTTTATGTTTGAGGCGGGAATCTCATTTGCATGAGTGGGACACGTGTCAGCAATCCGGGCTGTCAGTTTGATTTTACTGAAGTGACATGGCGGTTTGGCTTTGCCTTGTGTCTAACTGCCCATTTACTCCATATTAATTTCACTGTCCCCCTTTTTCACTTATTTCTTTTACGCCTCCAATTTTTCATCTTCCCTCTTCGTCACTTAGGCATTTTGAAATTTTCGCTCTTTGCTCTTCCTCTGTCAAGCGTCTCTGATCCTCCATTGTTGTGGTAAGTTGTTGCTTCTTCGTCTTTATTTTTGTCCTGACTTTCGCTTTACTTGCTTTCTCTCCTTTAATTTTTGCTCTTTTGTTAACTTTTTCCTTCTTTGTACTTCTTAATTGTAGATTCAGACTTTTGTCTTGCTTTGGCTTTTATCTCCGCCATTGTTGTTGTACTCTGTTGCTTCTGCAACTTTTTTCTTAAAGGTACTTAATTTGTACCTTTTGTTGTTTGTATTTTCCCAATTTTGCTTCTTTTTACTTTTTCTTTGCAAGATTGTGCCTTTTGATTCTTCCCAATTGTCGCTATTCCCATTTCTTCTCTTTTGTTGTTGTATTTGCATTCTTGGCTTTTTTCTACTTATTCCTTCATTGTTTCTACACTGATTCTTTGATTTTCTCGTGCCCCATTGCTTTTTCCTTCCTTTACGGGCCTGTATTCCCTTGTAGATTTCATAATGTCTGACGCCTCTGATAGTCAGAATATGAGTGAGCCTCAAACGGCCACATGATCGGATTCTTCCTCTTCCCGATCTTCTTTTTCAGGTGAGCGTCCTGCGCGCACTTCTCCTATTTCTCATACTCCTTTACAAACTGTTATGCCTCCTAACCTTCCCCCCCACTGCGAGCGGGATGGGTACTGCTGCGACTCCTGCTGCTGCGTCTGGGTCAGGCAGTAGTCGTCTCGCTGAGGGTAGTGCATTTCGCCCTTTCCAGTGTATACCCCCTCCTGATTTCTTTGATCCTTACTATGAGCGTGTGCTTACGCTGGATGGGGTTCCCTTATCCCATCTTACTCGCCTCAGGTTGCGCGCAATGCGCCATAAAATGCTGGTTGATGTTGTTAAGGCCAATCCCCTTGATGTGTCTCTTGTTAGCCCCATTCCCCATGTTCAGCCTTTAAACAGTTTTGCTTGGCTTGATGACATGGCGGACATGCATTGGTTTGATCTTTATGTAGTGTGCGGTGGGAATACTAGGACTCCATCACCTTCTCCTTCCCCAGCAGTACAATCAAGTAGGATGGCTGAGTCTCCTGGTGACCGCTCATACTTCGACTGTCAGCCCACTTATGTTGCTGAGCCCGTAGAGGAGGGCAAGACTGAATTCTTCCTTGATGACAAGTGTTATGGGCCTAAGAACTGCGTGCTAGATTCCAATTGGCGTAAGGACGCTGAGAGACTAGGCCTGGCTGCTGTTGGGCAGAAGTTTTACGGTTTTGGGGAGGGCTACGAGCTGGTTCTGCCTGCTAATGGTGCGAAGTTATCAGCCCCTCCTGCAGGTCATATTGCTGTGTTTGCCTCGCAGCTAGACTTGGGCTTGAGGTTCCCCTTGGACCCCCCCTTAAAGAAGCTCCTACGTGCTTTTAACATCTGCATATCTCTGGTGCACCCTGCCTCCCTTCATACCTTGATTTTTCTACTGTGGTTTTGAGGTTTCGAAGGTACCCTAAGTCTCTGCATTTGTTCAAGTCTCTCATGAGTCTGAAAAGATCGGCCTCTGGGACTGAGTCAGGGTGGTACTATGTTGCTCCCAAAGAGAGTAGAGTCTTGTCCTACCCAAAACTTGGGCGTTTTAAGGACTGGACTGGCAAGTTCTTCTGGGTGAGGGTGCCTTCTAATTTTGCTGCTCCGCGTAATTTCAGAGAGATTCGCACCAACATGGTTGGGGTCACAGTCTCTCCCTCTGAACCTGCTTGTGAGACAGAATCTTTTGAAGCTCTACAAGGAGCGGGGACAGGTGACTCCAAGTTTCCCAAGGTCTGGCTGCTCAATTCTATTTACATCGTGGGTAATGAGCAGCTATCTGCCATGCGTTTGTGCCATACACATGAGTCTGGTAAGCTTTTTCTGTCTTCTGCCTTTTTTTTCTTCTTTCTTCTTTTTTTTTTTGCCTTATTTGACCTTTTGTCATTTTGTGTTTTTAGGCTATGACAAGTTGGACAAACGCATGCTCGGGCTGGCCGATAATTGGAAGGACCCTCTGACTGCCACTCCTGAGAACCCTCCTCAGCTCTTTGATACGCTGGAGGTGTTTGCGGGTTCCCTGAAGGGCGAGGTTCGTTTGGCTCCCGATGAGCTGCCGGCTGTTGTTGGCACCGTGGCTACTGGCGAGCCGCGCTGAGCCTAAGCCTTCGTCTTCTACTGTTGGGAGTAGGCGTGATGCTCGCCCTGATCCTCAAAAGCTGGCTTCAGATTCTGATGCGTTAGTGGCGCCTGCTGCTTCCCCTGAAAAGTAGTCTGTCGCGGCTTCCGGCCGGGTGGCACCTCAAACTTCTGCTGCCAAAAGGCCACGTGAACAAGCTTCTGAAGAACCAAAGGCTACCGCTGATGATTTTGCTGACAGTGTTCTCCAGTTTCCTTCTGAGGGGATTGAGACCACTACTGCGGTGAAAAACCTGTTTCCTCTGCTGAGCATGTTCTGCTCTTTCCTACTCCTACTGATGATACTGTTGCTGCGAAGGGCACTGTCGTTCCTTCTGTTGCAGCTACTGATTTTCAGCTCCCTGATGAATCTGTGCTTCCAAGGTTTCCGCCGCGTCCCTACGGGTTGAGGGGGCAGCTTCGAAGCGCTACCCGAGGTGCGCTCTCCCGAGCTACGGGCTCTCTCCAGCAGGATCGTCCAGTGATTGACCTGGAGCACGATCCTGTGTCTTCTACCCCTGCTAGGGATGAGCCAGAGGCGAAAAAGGCTCGCACTTCTCCTGGCCCAGACGCTCTTGCTTCCACGTCTGCCAACACTGGATTTCCAGTTGGGAACGTTGGTGGGGGAGACACTCAGAACTCCAGTGAGCTTAACCGCTGCGTTCATCAGTTCTTGGGTGATGCCTTTGAGAATCCTCTTTCTGCGTCCTCACTCTCTGCTGGAGGGACTTTTCGCCCTAATGGGGCCATTGAGTTTGCTGAGGTCCCTATTGACATTCATCTTCGCCCCATACTCTGTCCTTCTGGAGCTGAGAACGCTCCCTTTCGGCCTTTGATGAATGTGAGGGTTGATGAGTCTTTATTTGTAGACGACCCTCAGAAGGGTGGTACTCTAGGATACCGCCTGACTCAGGGGGATCGTCTCCCTGCGGATTCTACGCGCAGCTCAGTCAACCTTCCAGCAGCTACTGCTTGCCATGATTTGCAGAAGGTTAGTCTCTGCTTTTGGCTTTTCTTTTTCTCGTTTCAGCTCTTCTCTGCTTGTTTTGTTGCTGCGGTCTTGTTTTACCTATTATACTTTATTTTTAGGAAATTTTCATTTTTACCACCTTCAAATAATGACTTTGTCGAATTTACCACTTCCAAAAAAAACATTTACTTTACCACCTCATAAAAAAATTAAACATCAGTTTTACCACCTCATCTGAGCTCAGGTGACGGAAAATGCTTGTGGGGCCCAGCTAACTGTCACTTCCCTCCAATTTAATTCTTTTAAAATCGATTTCCCTCTGTCTCCTCCTTTTCTCACCTTCCATAATCAATGTCTCACCAAATTTCTCACTTCCTCATCAATTTTCGTCTCTCTCTCCTTTGATTTTTCTTGATTCTCACTGTAACTTCTTCTCTCTCCTTTGATTTTTCTCTTTCTCTCTGTAAAAGCTGAAACCCTAGATCAATTTGGGTGGTTGAAATCGAGCTGGAACCACAAAATTGCAACACATCAGCTTCTCTTGTCATCTTCCACAGGGTGAGGGGACCAAAAGCTTGGTAATTTGCTGACAGAAATCGAGATTCCTGACTACAAGAGGTACTTTAAACCCTTTATTAGTACATTTCGTTGGATTTATGGTTGTCAATTGGGGTAAAGTATGCCTTTTTTGGGAATCTGTGAATTAAAGTATTATAAACCCTAATTATGCAAATCTTTGACTGAATTAGTGTGTGCATTTGTTAAATAATTAGTTAATTAGATTTACTTGTTTACTGTTAATTTAGTGCACAGTCAATGTGAATTGCTTTTACTTGCTGTAATTGGTGAATTGGTTGTTGTTGTTTATTGTAATTACTGAAATTGGTTACTGTTGTGTGTGCTTTTGTTGGTGTTGTTACAGAATGGACATAGTGGACTTAAAAATTACAGTAGGGGGTGCCTTTATACCTTCTTTAGCTGGTAAAAATAGGAGGGTGTTAACTTAGGATGGTGGGTGGGTTTATTGGATGAGAAAAGTGGAAAAAAAATAAGATAAATGTACACTTTTTGAGGCAAGCAGCTATACATGGGTTTGTGTATGTGAATGTGAAGGTTCCTAGGGGGTTTAGTTGCTGGTATAAACAAAAGGGCAAGTCTTGGGTGAATGGTAAAAGGGAGCTTGTTGATGGTGAGGTGAATGGTTTCCTAGAGTCTGTGAACAAAGAGGGGGCATGTGAGATGTATGTTACCAGTCATGAGCCAATTGAAGGGACTAACAAAACACCCTTCAAATGTATAGCTGGGAATGAGCTAACCCCTGCACAAAGGAAGGAACTGAAAAAGAGGTTTAGTGGGCCTAAAGTATATAAACCCAGCCCAGAACTTAGTAAGCCCACTGAAGAAGAGCCATTTAGGAGAAGCCCAAGGTTAAAGGGCATTGTTATACATGACAGAGAGGTTGAGGAGAGGCTTCCTAGGGCAGAGAAAGTGAATTCTAATACACATAAAGGGAAGGGTAAACTCACTGCTGCAGATAAGGGTAAGGCTAAGGTTGGGGATGAGACTGGAAATCATGCTAATTTAGTGAGAAAAATAAAAGAAAGAGTGAGGAGATTAAGGGATGACAGTGATGTGTTTACTGATGAGGATGGTGATACAGAGTCTTCTGATTCTGAGTTGAGTGATTTTGAGTTAGAAGTTGATGAGGGAGAGGAGGACTTATACTCTGATGATGATGAAGAGTGGTTGAAGAAAAATTTAGACCATATTAACAGTGAGGTGAAAGGCAGTTTGAGGGGAGTTACTGAAGGAGGGGATCAAAGTGATGATGAGGACACAGGGTTTGACATAGAAAGAAATCTACAGAAAATTGAAGTGAGGGTTGAAGAGGAGGCAGCTTGTGATTCTGATGAGCTAAAGAGTGTGGAAGGTGATTCAGATAATGATCAGGGTAGTGTTACTTGGTTTAACCCTGAGACAGACTTTGAAAGGGCTATCAAATTTGTAGTTGGTCAAAGGTTCAGTGATGTGCAAACAGTGAGAAAAGCTTTGAGACAACATGCAATTGAAAATAGGTATGAGTATTACCTTCTTCACAATGATTCAAAGAGGCTAACAACATATTGCAAAAGGAAATGCAAGTGTGTGTATAACAAGAACAGTTGTAGGATAGTGAAGTGTACATGTACTAAGGGTGTTAGGTGTAGGTTCAAAATCTATGCAACAAGGCTTGTGAAATCAGAGGCTTGGAAAATTAAGACACTAAGGCTGAAGCATAGGTGTGTTAGGAGTAAAATGAACAACAAGGTGACAGCAGAGTTCCTTGCTGACAGGTACTTGGAGGA